TACCAGCCAGTCCAGTCCAGTCTCGTCAGTCCGCTGGGGTATACCCCAGCCATTGTCTGTTTTCAGTCTCATTCCTCACTTGCACATTTTGGAGTACGTGCGTTGGAGTCTTGCGTGGGGAGCTGCGTTGTGCCATCTTGCTTCCCCTTCTTCCTCCATCTCCATCTCTGTCACTAGCGGAGCACCATACGTGGTGGGTCCGCTACACTCGGCCTCCCAAGCTACCGCTTTGGAGGGAAACAATATCCGAGTCTGATATCCCTCGCTGCAGGCCCTTCACTCAGACTACTGGACCAGTACCACCAGGCCCTAGCCCTACTTGACCCTAAGGCCTCCAAAGGTACTAACTGTTTGTCTTGTTCTGCTTACCTACCCACTACTCAAGTGTTTCCATCGTACGCAGGCCGCCCACCCACTACTAAGGTAGTGTTTTTCATCCCACGCGGGCCTAGCCTACCACTTAGTTCCACTGCAACCCCACAAAGGGTAAGTTTCAAAAATAGGGTGTTCATGATAGTCTAACAGCAAAAATTGTGGCAGCTCCCACGTTTCGTTGCAAAAATGGATCTTTGTTGCAGCTTTACAGGTCCCAGTAGTTTCACAGCAAGAATATTTGTGGGCGGGGTCCGACTTCCGTTGCAAAAATACATATTTCGCATCCCCACAACATTTCCACTAGGAAACTTTGAAAACACGCTATTTCTGCAATTACCCTCAATAAATAACAAAGAAAATAATCAAATGTTGGACTACTCGCACACGCTCTTTTTAACCAGCCAGTAGCAACGCCTCCCCCTCTGCACCCGGCCACAAATGAAGAGTCTCACCCCTGCCATTGAAAAGATAGAAGAGCTTTTTTTTCAGCACAAGAAAAGGACCTCAGTCTCTTGTGTCGCCTGCAACCCAATGCAAATACGTACCAGTGGCACACACGAGTTCGCGACATGTGTCGGCATACTCACACCTGTATGTACCTGACCACATTCGAGGAATGAAAGCTCTTTAGGCCTCGCCATCTTGCTGTTATGCAGTGTAAATGTGAAGGTCTGATTTTTCATTTTACTCTGAACAAGTGAACCCGGAGGTCCTTCAGGACATCCATTATACAGAAGATTAGCATTGCCCCTGCGCAAGGATGACACACATAAATAATCAATCAAGAAATGGTCCAAATTTAGCAAAACAAGAAAAGACAAAAAGTGGGGACCCTCCACCGCCTGGGAGGAAAGAAGGGAGAAGGGGAGAAGAGTCCACAGCCAGGAGGAAGAGAAGGAGGGAAGCGGAATCAGCATTGTGCTGCAATACTTAGTCATAGGTTAGGAGGGAAGTGGATAATAAGATTGACGCAAGACTATAGCTCATGAGTTAGTTATGGCCTTCATAGAGGCTAGGTACTAAGAACCTAGTATGAATGCATAACGATACGAGGTTGTATCCCAACAAGGAATCGGGTAGACAATACTTGACAAGACTGCAGTGCGCTGCCTAGTTAAAAGCTAGGTGGAAACAATGTGATCCGATTTAGGTAGAACTGCAGTCTCGCACTTACTTTTAGGTAAGGTAGTGTGGGTGGGTATAATTAGATATGACTGTTACATGGCATTTAGTCGTAGGCTAGAAAGCGAATGGGTGCTCTGATATAGGTACGACGTAAGTCAGACACTTCATTGCAGGCTGGGTAGCGACTGGATGCTCAAAATTGGGGTGGGACAATGGACCGGTTTCATATAGACAGGCTAGGCGGGGACTAGTTATGAGCTACGTGAGGATAGGGTACTTAGATATGGTTGAGCAATGGTACGGTCGTTAGTAATGAGCAAGGTAGGGTTTGGGTACCCAGACTAAGTTTAGGCGTGCAGTCCTAAACTTACAGGCTACAGTCTTCCCCCGAATACAACGCACGGTCATTATTGCTGAATTTGGTGTATCTTTCGGTCTAAATTCAGCTATAATGACTGTACGTTGTATTCGGGGGAAGACTGTAGGGCAAGACTGGGCACTCAGATGTACATAGGAATACGGTCTGTAACTTACTTCAGCACACCATAGGGACAGGGTACAGAAGTGGACGTTGAAGTGTTACTTGGTACATACTATGCACTAGCCAAGTAGAGAATTGGTTATCATAATATTGTACGGCTGAAGTCCAG